ATACCGATTTCAACAGTGCCAAGTACATAATAAAATTTTCCCATATTTAGGGATTTTCCAACAGTAAAAATAAAAAAAAATATTTAAAATTTGCAAACAACAGATGACACATAAAGATGATCTCGCCGAGGCATTAACATCATGTTTGATTTACTTAGTTTATATATTAAAGATAATTGTTTTAATTTATGAGTAGATTAAAAAATATACTAGAAATTAAAGAGAAAAAAAAAAAAACGACGTGTCATGAGCCGTACAAATTATATGACATATTTTGCACACAAATTAATTCAAACATATAAATAAATTACAATTAATCAAAACAATTTGAAATTTCAGACAAAATATTTAACACAAATCAATGGAGTGAATTAAGTGAACTGAAGCATTTAATGCTAATATATATATATATATGCATGTATATTACCATATGCCAAGTAAAATTTAAAATAAATTGAATATTCAATTGTTCTGTTAACACCACATATTTATGATCAATTGCTTTTGATTTATAAATGCATAAGGAAACACCAAGAACTGTCAGTCTGATAGTCTGGTGGTTTAATTTTACATTTTAATTGAAAATGGGTCGTTAGTATTATATTAAAATTTTATAGAAAATACCCTACACTATGTTAAAGCTTAATTACTGGCTTCCAATTTCTATTGTCTTATAAGATTAGGTTTGGTTTTGTACTAACTACGTAGAACAAGGGATTCTGTGACAGGACCTTAACTATAATCAATTGATATCAATATACTGATCTCAAAATTGATTTAAAACCAAACTATAGTGTTTTCTATAAACTAGACTAGGGGTTATTATATGGTCTATTCTATAACGAGACTATAGTCTATTCTATAGACCGAACTACAGTATATTCCATAGACCCGTCTAGTCTCGTCTATAGAGCATGCTATATTATATTCTATGGTTCAGACTATTTTATAATATAGACTATAGTCTATTCTACAGACCAGACCAGATAGAACAGACTATAGACTATTCTTTAGAACAGACTATAGTCTATTTTTATAAACAAGACTATAGGTTATTCTATAGTCTAATCTGAAAACATATGTATAGATCAGACTATAGTCTATTCCAAAGACCGATAGTACTATAATCTATAAACCTGACAATAGTATATTCTATGGATCAGACTATGGTCTATTCTATAATCCAGACTGTTATTAATTCTGTAGTCTATAATATAGTCTGGGTAAATAGGATTCGTGTGCCGACAATTTTTGTAGTGTAGACACGTTTAAATCATTAAAAAATTCGTTATCTATTCTGAAATTTATAGAATGATCATATAATTTTGTAGCTCATCATAAAGCCTAATTTAACACATCATAAATTTGTTGTTTATTTTATTATTGATAAAAAATTCAATTAAAAAAAACTCAATTTATTATCACTAAACTATTTAATGGATTTAATGAAGTTGTGATTGGAAAATATTTAAATCACGTTCCATGTTTTAAAACAACAAAACAAGCTGTTTCATGAAACGTGATTGCGGCTATGATGACGTTTTTTCTTTAGTTTTTATTTATATATTGCTTCGGTAATTATTTTAAATAATATCAACTGCTAGTAGTATTAAAAAAAAAAAAACTGTAAATAAAATAAAAAAAAAACGACTCAACACCCAGAGATTGGTGTCAGCCAGAAAAACAGCAAAATTAAAAGAAGAGTAACAATATAATTTGCATAGTCAGTAGTACTGGGTACTTGTATTATAAGTACTTTGTAGGTATTATTGGCTCAGCAGACTGACGACGGACAAAACATTGGCTGGGGTCAGTAACATGAAATTCAATTAACATTTACTTTGTGGAAAAACAGACTATTATTGTATTTTGTTATTTGGTGTTTGTTATATCAATATTTTACATAAAATTTTATGTTTTTAAAAAAAATACTTGTTTTTAATGTGATGGGATTTACATTGATTTTACTCTTTATGGGTAAATAACGATTATATACATATATTTCTATATAATTAAAACTTATTTGTTTGAATTTGCTTTTTAAAATTCTCTGTAAATTTAATTGTTTTTTTTTTTTAAGTAGAAATAAATCAAGTTTATTGGGGGAATTTCTCTGCTAATGATGCAATATGTTTATTTTCTGTATGCAATACAATTTTATAATTATATATTTTACACGAGTGTTTGTTAAAATTACAATTACTTTGTAATTTAAATTTATTTAGGATATTAATTAGGCTCAGTAGAGGAGTTCTGGTTATATTTCAAAGATAATCTAAAAAATTTTATCAGGTTTTCTAAAAAGTGCAGAAAAACATGATAAAAACATTACCACCGACGATGACCTAAACAAGTCGAAAATTAGTAATGGTTCGAATTTTAAATTCAGAGGCAAATATTGTCTACACTATAGGCTAGACTATTTCATAGGCCAGACTATAGTCTATTCTATAGGCCAGGCTAAAGTTTATTATATAGATCATACTATAATCCATTCTAAGACCATATTATAGTCTATTCAATAGACCACACTATAGCCTAGGCCAGACTGTAGTCTATTCTATAGACTATACTATAGTCTATTCATAGACCATGCTATAGTCTATTCTTAAATCATACTACAGCCTATTCTATAGGCCATACTATAGTCTATTCTTATAACATACTATAGTCTATTTTTAGAACATACTATAGTCTATTCTTAGACCATAAAATAGTCCATTCCATAGACCATTTTATTGTCCATTCTTAGACCATACTATAAGCGATTTAATAGATCACACTATAGCCCATTCTATACTACTACAGTCTGGCCGTAGTCTATTCTATAAATCATACTAAAGTCCACTCAAAGACCATGCTATAGTCCATTGTTAGACCACACTATAGACTATTCTATACACCATATTATAGTCTATTCTTATAACATACTATGGTCTATTTTTAGAGCATACCATAGTCTATTCTTATACCATACATTAGTCTATTCCATAGACCATACTGTTGTCCATTCTTAGACCATACTATAGACGATTTAATAGACCACAATATAGACTATTCTATAGGTCATACTGTGGTCTATTCATATACCATACTATAGTCGATTTAATAGACCACACTATAGCCTATTCTATAGGCCAGACCATACAGACTTTACGATAGTCTATTCTAATATCAGACGTTATAAGGGATCTATAAGGACCCAAGTAAAGCTATACTAGTGGTAGTATACAGTCTGCAGAACCTAACCTATTCTAATATAATACTATTATATATACCATACTATAGTCTATTATTAGACCATACTATAGTATATTCTATAGAACATACTATAATGTATTTTAACCATGATGTATTTATTTAGACCACATTATAGCTTATTCTATAGGTCAGACTGTATTCAATAGACCATACTATAGTCTATTCTATAGACCATACTATTATCTATTCTTAGACCATATTATAGTTTATTCTATACACCATACTATAGACGATTCTTCTAACATACTATAGTCTATTAGTAAATAATTCAGTTTTTGTCAATTTATGGCGGTTTTAAGATTAGGTTAAGATATCTCTAAGAAGGAAGAAGCTATAACAGAGGGTTAAACCTTTATTTAAAAGTCAAAGGTTTGGGGTTTTAGATGATATAAAGATTTATAAATAAAAGTATATTAGGTCTGTGATAACGTCAAAAATATGTCCAAACGTGTTTTAACGCAGGCTCCAAATCAATTTTTATCTGCCATCAAATATTTTTGACCGGTTAGATTAGAATTTCGAACCATAGTAGATCGTTAATTATATACCCAAATTGAAAGGAGTTACTTGATACGATCAAAATACTTAACAAACATTTTTTTATTTGTCTTACAATATAAGTATTTTTGGCAAACCTTGCCCTAATGCGCTTTATTTACTTTCCAATTGCAGTCGGAAACCATTTTGTTTACATAAACTTTAAAAATAACCCAAAATTTAAATAAAAAAAAACATTTGCCAAAGACTTTGTTATTTGTTTTGATTTCAAGTTACTCAATTAAAAAAAAAAAAAACAAATGATTTTGTATTCAAGGGGTTAATGACATAATAAATGTTAATTTAAAAAAAAAAAAAATATAATAAAACTTAAAATAATCGATCGCTAAAAATCTGAAAAGAATTTCACTTAATTTCACTTTTGTTAATACTTGTTTATTTATTTTTAAATGGGGTTTTTAATGAACAAGAAAAAAAGGTAAATGAGTTTTATAGTTTATTTAAAAGTATTTATTGCTTTTGGATATTGTAAATGTAGGGCAATAAAATAATAGTTTATTATGGATTGGTATTAATTTGTTATTTGTTTATATTTTACAATATTTATATGGGCTTTCAATTATGGATTTTTTTCGGAGAATTTGATAAAGTAATCACGCACTGACATATCCAATCACACTATAGTAGACTATCAGTACTTTAAGGAACAAGATTAGATTTCGATTTATCGTAATTACGAGTGTCATTTAATGACTTTGCAAATACTTATTAAGACAACTTAATAAAAAAAATCAGCCCAGGGTTAGGCTAGTCAATCAATTAGAGACATTTATTACGGCAGGCTGATGGACACTTTTTAAGTTTTGTATATATAATTTTTACTTATTTCATTTCATGTTATGTTTTCATTACAGATTTTATTTATTCCCTAAAATACCTTTACTTGGCCATTATCCATGATATTCAATTTTGACGATGAAAATATCTAATTTGGCAACTCAAAACAAAATTGAGTTTTACTTATTATTACTAACAATATGTAAGTTGTAATTATTATATATTATTATAATATAATATTAATAACAAATTAAACATTTCAGTAACACAAACATGGGCGCAGGCGCCTAAAGGATTGTCTATTTCTACACATGATATCACTGTGTTAATCAATAGTTCTGAAACTGTTTATGTTATGTTAAGTATGTGATATTTAATTTTTATTGTTTATAATTTTAAAATTATTTCTATTTTATAGTGATGCCTTGGAACAGCATGTTACGGTCATTCTTAAACCACAACATGACAATCTGGCATTAATAGAACCAACGCAGTTTGATTTTAATGCTGATGGTGCACAAAATCAAAGTATTGTTGTTACTGGTTTGAAAACCGGGACATTTAGAAGTTACGGCCGATAGTCAACCCGATGAAGAATGGATGTAAGTAGTTTTTAGAAAGTAAAATACAGTGTATAGTTCAGACATAGACTAAACTATAGTCGATACTATAGACTACACTATAATGCAGACTATAAAATAGACTAATCTAAATCTCAGACGAAGCTATAATGTAGATTATAGACTAGACTATAAGCTAAAATATCTACTAGACTGTAAAATAGTCTAGATTATACTATAGCCTTATAGTCCATATAGTCCAGACTATAGACTAGGTTATATTCGAGACCATAGACTGACTTGGCTATAGTCCAGACTATAGAAGAGGCTATAGTCCAGACTATAGAAGAGGCTATAGTCCAGACTATAGAAGAGGCTATAGTCCAGACTATAGAATAGCTATAGTCCAAACTATAGACTCAACTATAGTCCAGGACTATAGACTCAACTATAGTCCAGGCTATAGACTGGGCTATAGTCCTGACTATAGACTCGGCTATAGTCCTGACTATAGACTCGGCTATATTCCAGACTATAGAATCGGCTATAGTCCAGACTACAGACTCGGCTGTAGTAAAACTATAGACTGAGCTGTAGTACAGACTATAGACTCGGTTATGTTCCGGACTATAGACTAAAATATAGTTCAGCCTTTAGACTAGACTATAGAACAGGATATATTCGACTTTAGACAAGAATATATATTAGACTATAGTCCACACATTAGACAAAACTATCGATCAGGCTTTAGACAATAGACTAGGTTATAAGGTCCAACATAAAGACTAAGTTATAGCCCAGAGTATAGACTAGGCTATAGTTCCGATGTAGACTAGACACAGTCAAAACATCACCTAGACTATACTCGAGATTTTAGACTAGTCCACACTTAAGTTAGAACTATAATGTAGATAACAAATTCTATTTTTGTTAAAAATCTATTAAAAAAGCCATATGTAGGTACTTATAAATTCAAACAGTTTCCTGTTACATCTTCCAGAAAAAAGTGTTTGATGCACAAGTAAGTACCAGTCAATGTCATTTTTGCAAATAACAAAATTCACTTAAAACTTTTTTAAACAAACACTATAACTAAATTTAATTTATACTTAATATGTTTTATGATGTATAATTTACATATTTACTTTAAAAAGTAATGAAATTTAAACACAAAATATCACAGAAATCATTTGTGGAAGAAATGTAAACAAAAAGTAGAATAGTGCTGCCAAGTTTGTTATATGAAAATAAGAATACCAGATGACGCAAAAACTAATTGTAACGGAAAGTTGATAATTCTTTTAACTGTTAATTTAAATGAAAGAATGAAAAAAAATTAAAAACTATAAACTACATACATATGTATTGGCTTTCTAGTTCGAAAAAAATAAACAAATTTATATTTAATATTCTTTAAATCACTATAATTTCAGCGTTAAAGATGTATTTCTACGCATTACAGTGGCCAATTCCGAAGCCATTATTTATACTTCATTGATCTTCGGCTGGATATATTTTGTGGCTTGGTCTGTGTCATTTTATCCGCAAATATGGGTCAATTATCGTCGCAAATCAGTGGTGGGCTTAAATTTTGATTTTGTTTTCTTAAATTTATTGGGTTTTACTCTGTATTCAATATTCAATTGTGGCCTTTATTGGATACCAGAAATACAAGCCGAATATACCAATCGTTATCCTCGTGGCCTCAACCCGGTTATGTTGAATGATGTGGTATTCTCTTTACATGCCATGTTTGCTACCATTATAACTATTTATCAATGTTATGCTTATGAAGTAAGTGTTTAGTTTTTCATTTTAAATTAATTAATAAATAATGTTTTTCTTTAATTTTCTTTTTTCGTAAGCGTGGAGAACAAAGTATTTCGAAAACAGCTACTGCCCTTCTATCATTATTTATTTTATTTGTAATTATATGTTGTGGTTTAGCGGCTGGTAATGTTATACATTGGTTGGACTTTTTATACTATTGTAGTTATGTGAAATTAACTATAACAATTATAAAATATGTACCACAGGTATGTATAAAGAAAGAGGAATTTGTTTCTAAATTTAAAATAAGTATAGTAAAGATTTAAAATTACCGCCATACATCAGGTTAAATTAACATTAAAAAAGTAATGCCAAGTTGAGGGAAATTTTTTGTATTTACGTTTGAGGGAAGCTTGAAAAAGTTTAAGGTTGCCATATATATTGAAATATTAGTTTGGATGACAGTGACTACGTTAATTTGTAAACAAACACAAAAGTTTAAATTGTAGTAAAGGGAAAAATGTTATGGGAATAAGAATAATTTACAAAATAATCATTTAGTTTGAAACATTAAACGGTTACTATTTTCATTTTTTTATTATTTAAAGGCTTTAATGAATTATCGTCGTAAAAGTACCATTGGCTGGAGTATTGGTAATATTTTATTAGATTTTACTGGAGGCACCTTAAGTATGCTGCAAATGATACTTAACGCT